AAAAATAGGTAATAAATAAATAAAAACTGTTTAAACTATATTAAACACTTACAGCAGTAGCCCGCCACACCACGTGCCATAGGCCCACCCAATTTCATCAAAAGTCCCTTAAACTCTAAACACTTTACAGGAGAGTTTGGTTTTCATACCTTACTAACAGTGCTTCATTTTATTTTATTTTTGTTGTTATTTGTGCTAAAATTTTGGATTTAATTTGTGTTAAAATTAAAAATATTAATTTGTCGTGATTTATATTTAAATTAGAATTTTGATTTCTTATGATTGCTATTAAAATTAAGAATTTTAATTTGTTGTGCTTTGTGCTAAATTTAAGGATTTTGATTTGTGTTAAAATTGGAGATTTCGATAGCTTGGTTGTTTACATAAAGAGAGAGACATTTTTTATGACATTGATAATGATACTATCATGGAGTCAAGGTCAATTGTAAAAGTTTATAATTAAAAACTTTTTGTAATGAATATTTAAGTTTTTGTATTTAATATTTACGCAAAAAATTATTATAATATTATTGTCGTTGATTAATAAGTGTCCCCTCAATACTAAATTCACAACTCTGCCACTGTATTCAAACAAAGGAAATAATAATTTCATTTCTTCGAACGAACCCAAAATGTTCAATTATTTACATATAAACATTTAGTAGTTATTCAACCTTAATAGTTTAAACAAATTATTTTTGTTCACATGTAAATAGTCAAACATTGTTTAAATGTTTAACTCTGGTTATCTGAATGTGTGATGAACGAAATTATCCTCTCAATGATTATATGAGAAAAAAAAAGAGTAAGAAATTGTATTTTTCGTTGTTGCATTGTTCCAAAGAAACAATTTCAGTGATATTCATGGTGTGCAAATCTTTAAAATCGATTGATTTCAATATTCTTAAACTCTAAACCTTCAAAGATAATAATGCTTTTGAGTTGGAGGAAGAATGGAAAAGAGAATAAGGTGAACTAATTGATAATAAAAGATATTATGATGCAGTGTGTTAAAGTATAATGAAAAGGATGATAAGTGTTGAAGATGATAAAGAGATAGGATATATGTCTATAGGTGATGGTCTGCCATGAGAGTTTTATGCTTTGAGGTGTAAATTCTTTAAATTGGTTGAAGGCATACCATTATTGTTCTTAATAGCCATTTTATTTGAGAATGTTATTGTAATATAAATGTAATGTTCTAATGGTTTGTACTTAGACAAGCCGTGGTGTGCAAATATAATTTTCTTTTTCCATATTTTGATATTTTTAAGAAGGAAAATGATATTAGAGTTATAGCATCCGCTCCACAATAATCACAACTAAAGAAAATCCCTTTGTTCTACACCCCTAAAAGGATACCATATGCATCTTGTTTTGAAATTTTGCAGTAATATTAGACATTTTTATAGCAAATGGTGCACAATTCTCTGATAGAGTTACGATAATTTGTAATTAAAAAAAATGATGTAAAGGATTTTTGTGGTAATGATGCATATTTTTTCATCAAAAAATTTTTAATTACAAAAATGTGTTTATTTCCTAATCACACACTACAAGAAATTAAGGTTTTAAAGACAAATTTTTAGGGACAAAATTAATTTGTCTGCAAAAATTATACTTTTAAGGAAAAAATGAAGGAATTTTAAATATATATATATTTAATCATTTTATTACATTTTTTAGACAAGAATATTTGGTTGAAAAACGATCAGCCACTTTTACCTACAATTTTAGTTGGTCCGTAATAAACCCAAATCATACATTATTTTATTTTATATATTCATTTTTGAACTCAATAATTGGGACAGATAGCTTGATCGAAATTGTGATAGATTGATCACTCTCTCTCTCTCTCTCTCTCTCTCTCAAATCCCTAATTTCTTTTTCTCTCGCAAATGCAATGGTTCTTCGCTACGTATCTCGTTGATTGCTTTTGATCTCGGCAACAATTTCATCCCCGAGGGTATTATCTTTATTCAATCCTCTATATATACAGATTCATGTACTGAATTGATTGTTTTGATTTTTTTTTTTCTTGTTTTGAATTGCAGGGGCTGCTGATGTTTTGCCCTACATCGAAGCGGATCTGAAGAAGATTGCTGCTAGGGTTGTAGAAAATGCTAAGGAGATCTGTCTTTGTAAGTCAGTATGTCTATTCTATGTTTATCTCTATCTCTTCTTTTTTTTTTTTTTTTTTTTTTTTTTTGGGAGAGGGAGGGGTTTTGATTAAGTTATTTTTTGCTATTGCTTGAAGAATTGGATTCCTTAGGTTTGAATTATTGGAAAATTTTACAATTCCGAACATCTAATTTTATTGCTCTTATAAATTTTGTTGTTTTGTGCTTTTTTATTTTATTTTATTTTGAATTTGATTAGAATTTTGTAGAATCTGTATGAATTGATGATTATGTGAGTACATTTTTAATCTTTGTTAAATAGTTTAAGGCTCTATTTTTTACCTTAAGGATTTCAAATGAAGTAGATTTGAAATCTAATCTTACAATCCTTGCGCCCTACTCGGTTGATCACATGACATATGGATTTCAAATCCAGCCAAATCAGTCCACGAATTTCATTCTTTCATCACTTTCTTAGAAATTTGATATTTTGTTTGGTCTTTATCTGCTTGATTTTTTGTTTGAAAATGTAGATGCCAATTCGATTGATTGCATTGTTAAATTTATTTTGATTCGCTTGTTTTATTAGAGTAAAAAATTCTAGCATCATATTTCCTATTTTTAATATATCCTATTTTTTAAGCTTTTACACCCCCCTCCCAAATTTTTTATTTTTTTTTCCTTTCTCTCTTTCTTCTTTAGTTCTTTTGCACCATGGATAGGAATTGGATGCAACTTCATACTGGAAGGTCACCTCAGTACATTGATGGGGTGAGGGAATTTATCATGTTTGCTCGTGATCATATGAAACCAGGGGCAGATAAGATTTGGCGTCCATGTTATAGATGCAACAACTATATTCAAAAAACCATAGAGGAAGTTGAAATTCATTTGTATGCATATGCGGTGGTCACGAGTTACACTAGGTGGGTGTATCATGGGGAAGGTTTTGAGTTGAATGACAATGATGACTCACAAAATGAAAATGACGAATATCTTGACAATGTGACAAAGAAGTCAAATAGCCCCCAATACTGAGGTGCGAGAAGTTATTCATGATATACGAAGTGGAACAACCACATATAGTTATGTGGGAGAAGTATCTAGCAGTCGTAATCCTGACTCACCTAGTAGTTGTGGTGGAGAAACAAATAAATTTGCAAGATTAATGAGGGATACGGGGCAAGATTTGTATCTGGATTGCCAACGATTCTCCAAATTATCATTCATGGTTAAGTTGTTATATCTAAAGATATTTAATAGATGGAGCAACAAATCACTCATAATGTTGCTGGAATTGTTGAAGGAGGCACTTCCCATTGGTGAAATGCTTCCATGCTCTTACAATGAGGCTAAACAAATAATTCGAGATTTGGGCTTCGACTATAAAAAAATACATGTATGCAAGAATGATTGCGTACTTTGGAAGGAGTATAAAAATGAAGATGAGTGTCCTACTTACAAAGAGCCAAGATACAACGTTCGTAAAGGTAAAGGTAAAGGTAAAAAGATCCCTCACAAGGTTCTGTGATACTTTCCTTTAAAACCAAGGCTACAAAGGCTATTCATATCAAGGAAGACGACTACTGATATGAAGTGGCACAAGGATAAACGTACAGAGAAGGAAAATGTATTGCGCCATCCAGTTGACTCTGAAGCGTGGAAAGACTTTGACAAAAAGCATGAGACATTCGCCAAAGATCCTCATAACGTTAGGCTCGGACTAGCTAGTAACGGTTTTAACCTGTTTGGAAACATGAGTAACTCATATAGCACATGGTTATTTTTTCTTATCCCATACAATTTACTACCACGGAAATGTATGAAGGATCTACTTTTTTATGATCCCTTTGCCTATTCCTGGGCGTAGGGCTCCCATGTTTGACATTGATGTGTTTTTACGACCATTGATAGATGAGTTAAAGGAGTTATGAGAGGTAGAGGTAGAGATATATGATGCATCAAATGGCCAAAATTTTCAATTACGTGCCGCATTGTTATGGACCATCAATGATTTCCCTGCATATCGTAACGTATCTGGTTGGAGCACCAAAGGGAAATTGGCTTATCCTTCATGTAATGAGGATGCATCTCACCAATACTTGCATCATTGGAAGAAAACTTGTTACACGGGACATCATCATTTTTTGCCGCATGATCATGTTTTAAGAAAAAGCAAGGCATTCAATGGTGAGCCAGAGCATAGATTGGAACCCAAGTTGCTGTCTGGAGAGGAGGTTTTGGGGCAATTGGAGCATCTTGACTCGACAGTATTTGGAAAGATAGATGAACGTGGGAAGAAGCGAAAACGTTCTCCTCAATATTTAAATTGGACAAGGTGAAGCATCTTCTTTGAGTTACCTTATTAGAAAACCCTCAAAGTTCGCCACAACCTCAATGTTATGCACACTGAAAAAAAATGTATGCGATAGTGTGATGGGAATATTGATGAACATTGATGTAAAAGCCAATGACTCATATATGGCTTGTCTTGATCTAGTGGCTATGGGTATAATGCCTGAATTACACCCAAGGCAAGTAGATGGAAAAACTTTACTACCCACTTCTTGCTTCATGCTCTCTCCAACTAAAAAAAGGAGTTTTTGTGAATTCTTGAGTACAGTTAAGTTGCCAGATGGCTATGCATCAAACATATCACATTGCGTCAGCACTAGTGATTGTCGAATTATAGGGTTGAAAAGCCATGATTGCCATGTTATCTTGCAAAGATTGCTTTCTGTTGCCCTACGTGGATGTTTGAAAAAGGATGCGAGCAAGGCTTTAATTGAGATTTGCTTGTTCTTTAAGGAGTTAATGACAAAAACATTAAGAGTTAATGTCTTAGAACAACTTGAGAAAGATATCATTTTAATTTTGTGCAAGCTTGAGAAGATATTTCCACTATCTTTTTTCGATATTATGATCCATTTATGCGTACACTTATCACGTGAAGCAATCTTTGCAGGACCGGTGCAATACCAGTGGATGTATGCATTTGAGAGGTACATACATATTCTTAAGGGCTATGTACGTAACAAAGCCCGTCCAGAAGGCTCTATTGCTGAAGGTTACATTGATAATGAGGCTCTTACCTTTTGCTCTATGTACTTCAACGAAGGTGAGACAAAATTTAATAAACCAGAGTGGAATTATGATGGGCCTATTAAAGCTACACAAGATGGAAATATTTTTGTATTTAAGCAAAAAGTACGTGGAATAAGAGTTGCAATTAATGATGTGTTGAATTTAAAAGATTTGAAGAAAGCTCGATGGTATGTGTTGAATAATTGTGATGAAGTTCAACCGTATGTGAGGTAAGTAAACCACCATATGAATATATTCACTAGAAAATTTTTCTTTTTGAATTCTACTATTTTTAGAACTATATGTGTCAAATAATGTTGTGTAATAATTTATAGGCAATACATGGATGAACTTGAGAGACAAGGTTTGAGGAATGTGCAAGAGATGCTAGAATCAGAGTTCCATACATGGTTTCTAAAATACGTAAGTGCTATAAAATTTTAACCTTATTAGCATCTGAAAAATTTACCAGTGAATTAGGGATTGTCACTATGCAATTTGCCCCACAAAATGTTCCATCGTGGACTGATATTAGCGAAGAGGATAAAGAAACATTGATTGCATACCTTTAGGTAAGTGGTACAACTGCTGAGATTTAGATTGGCTAAGTTTGTTCTGTGGAAATCAAATCAAATCAAGTATCCTTCATACAATTACAAAGTCACTTTATGTTCTATACTTCGAATTACAATTACATATAAAATAGGCAATAATGCTACAACTTCAGAATAAAAAATTTAGATAAGTTTTAGAATTTTAAATTAATGATTAAGATTCATTTAGCCTTTATTTAGGATGAATTTTTTTAGTCTGATTTTTTGATAGCAACAGAGTTTATTTATTGTGCTGTTGTGGTGTATTTGCAATTCATTTCTTGGTCATACCAAAACAGGCATAGTTGTACAGAGATATAATGATTTAATATTTGGGTTAATGGGTGTGAATTATGATTGTTGCATATGGAATGAGTACAGGAACTTGGAGTAGATAATAGATATAAAAGGGATGTGTTCAGAAATGGAAAATGAAGTTTTTAATGTATTTTAGTTTAGTACATACGTGAATTGTCTAGTTATATTTCCTCTACTTTGTCTTATTGTCTTGCTAATGTGGTGGTTATGATCTGGCAGATTGAAATTTAAATGCTCACTTTAATATCAAGGGCTGTTTAGAAATGTAACTAATACATAGCTTAGCATCAATAAGGCTTTAACTCAAGCACAACACATAGCTTCCCTTGAATGAAAAAAGTCTGTTCTAAGATCTCAATTCTATGCAGGTTCTGCAAGCTTGCGTTGATTTGAAGGCTTGGGAGCTCTTTGCGAGATTTTGAATGACATTTCAATGAAGCCCTTGAGAAGAAGATGTGATGAGTTGTTTTGTTCTGTAGGTAGATATAACTCCAATTTACAATCTGTTCATTGAATAGTTGAATGCTACAAGCAATGCTTATGGCACTGGCCTTATAAATTGGCAATGATACTTTTGAAATATCTATCAGTTTATGATATACAATCCAGATATTATGTACTAATGAATTAAAGCATGGTATTTGTTTGTCATTGAAATATCTTTTGATTAAGCCTCATTGAATGTGATGAGCATGTGTTTTTTTTTTTTTTTTGGTTGAATTTTAATTTGAAGATGAATAGATAGTCTAGTGATGTGTTTGATATTTTCTGTTTGGTTGTTGAGAAATCAAGAAAGGAATATAAGTTGATATTCAAACTAGTATTTTGAGAGTAATTGTTACAAAATCAAAAAGCCACCAAAAAAAGCAAAAAATATTATCAAACTTTTGGAGACCGATTTTAGTTGTTTCAGAAAAATTAGAACCTTGCAAAACTAAAACTTTTAGCCACCACTTTCACTTGTTCCAAAAACTAAAACTTTTAGAGACCAATTTGTGTTGTCTCAAAAATTATTTTTTTATTAAGGCCTCGTTTGGGAAGTGGCTATTTTAGTAGGCTATTTTAGTTTTTGGCTATTTTATTTAGGTTAAAATTTTTGTGTTTGGGAAGATGATTGGATTTTTTTGTGGTTGGATGTGATGTTTGTGAGAGAAAAAGTGAAATGATTATGGGTTTAATGTGATATTTTGTCTTATTAGTTATTTTAGCCTATTTTGTCTTTTTGTGATTTTTAGCCTAAATCGGGCTATTTTTTTCCTTCCCAAAACCCGCTTAGTTGGCTAAAGTTTTTCCTAACAAATAGTACACTTTTAGGGAAGGAATAAATTTGTCCCTAAAAACTTGATTTCTTGTGGTGACAAATTATCCTAATTTAGTAAAAAAAATACATTAAATTTGTCATAAAAATACATAAAATGTATATATATAATTTTTTTTTTAAAAATGTGTAACAACGTTGCAAAGGCCTGCCAAGAATGCTTTTGGAAGGAAAAATGGCTTTGTTTGGGCATATTTGTTGTGAGACTCTAATTGTATTTGTTGTTCAGTAGTTGATAGGGCCGAGGTGAATGGTTACCAAAGCCCAAATTCAACTAGCAGTGGCCCAAGAGAGCATTTTTTAAGCAGCCCATAAAGTTTTTTGCAACATGAGCTCTTAAATGGACCCGTAACTTGGCATTAAAGGAAAGTCCCACTCCATTCTCCTTTCACAATTATGTTAAATTTTCTAACTTGGAAAAATAAAAACAAGTAAATAAAGGAAGAGACTCCATAACCAAACAAAAATACGATGTTCCCAAGAAGAAAACCGCTCATAAAACTGCACATAATTTAATCTATAGTGTTGTGTGCCACATTTAAAATAAATTTAATTCACACATTTTAAATTATAAATATTTTCTTAAATAATTTTCTTGGTATCTGAAAAGAGACAAAATGATCAAGTAGAGTAATATTGATACCCCCATATTGGGCCTCTCATACTCTCTTGTGAAAATAACTTACAAAGAGATTAGCTTAAATATTTGAATTTACCGTTAATTTTTGAATAATGTTAGATGTACTAATTAATATATTAACTAATATATTAATAGATGATATGATATAATTTTAAAAGTTTTAAGTATTTATAATTTATATAATAAATGACATCAATAATAATAACAACATAATACTAATTAATACATTAGTGTATAAATTAATAGATGCATATAACACTACCGCTAACTTTTAGATTATAAGCAACACACAAGTTATCAAATCAATAGCATTATTTTTATTTAAATTGTGTTGTAAATATTTGTTTTTATTAGCTAATAGACTTCGTAGGAAAACTCAAAATTTTGTCTTTTTTTTCTTAGACGAGCTTAAAATTTTAATTAAGGCCCAGTCATCAGATCTATAGACTGAGGGTAATAGCATTATGTTATTTTTTGGGCATAATTTTGGTCTAGTGAACTGTTTTTAATTTTGAGCTAAAATATATTACTAAATTAATGGTGGGAATTTTCAACACAATTAGGAGTGTAAAATTAACCCGGCTCATGTCGAGCGGCTCCGCCAAAATTCAGAATTTAACTCGCACTAGAAAATTATGCCCAAGCCCAAGCCCAAGCGCACGCCTAGGCTCAAGGGATATTTGGGTCTCAGGCAGGCAGGCTGATGGGTCAGACCAATGAGCCTGGACTTGGGCTTGGGGAGGGCCTAGCCATTTTTAAATATTTTTTAACCAAAAATGACATCGGGTCTCTGTGGGTCGGGTGAGCTGAGCTGGGCCGGGCCTTGAGTGGGCCGATAGGCTGGGGCATGAGCAAGACTCACAGGCCAAGTCGGGCTCCAAAACACACGGCCCAGGCCCAAAATCTCTGGTTGGGCCCACCCGAGTCGCAAGCTCGCGAGCCAGATTTACACCCTTAAACCCAATATGATAACACAACTTATGCTGTTCACAAAATTAGGGGGTTAGAATTAATCATTTTTCGATGTAAACATGACTATGACATGACCCAGCAACACATTTATTAAGCGCGTAAGGTTACTATTGAATTTGCGTAACATAAAATTGATACAAATAACACTGTTAATGAACTTAAAAATTTCAATATTTTTTTTTTCCCCACTAAAGAGTGTCATACCATTCTTTAATAAGTGGAGTCAACTGAATATAAAATATTTAAAAATTTTCATTTGTTAATAAAATTTTACTATTAAGCAAGAAAAATGTTTGAAAATTTTTTCAGTAAAATTTTTGAAAAATGTTAAAACAAGCTCCTAAAATTTTATTGACAAATGAAAAATTTTCAATAAAATTGTAGAAAAATGTTAAAATGTAAAGAAAATCTCTATAATTTTCAATTTTTTGAACTTCACAATGTATGTAATTAAGGTCTTTGGCCTAATGATTTTATAGCACTAGGTGGTTCAATTTGAAGTAAACCAACACCACACCACCACATATGATTCTCTGAAATTTGGAACTAAACTAAACCAAGAAAATCTTGAAACCAAACCAAAATAAACCATGAAAATGAGATTCGGTTCAATTTGAAATCACGATTTTTATAAATCTTATCATTGTTCACAATATGATGACAACATGCTCTAACATCAAACGTGTTGTCATGTTGCAAACAATAATTAGTTAAATAATTGTTAAGAACTAGTTTTGTCATTGTAGAAGAGCAAAACTTGTGAATATATATGGGCTACTAATAAGAAACTCAAGTGTTCACTATAAATAACAAATTATATATATATATATATCTATATAACAAACCAGGATGGTTTTTGAAAAATATATAAAATGTATTAGAGATACATTTTAAATCAATGGTCTATATCAATCCTTAGGATATATCAATGACTCAGATCTATGTACTTCCCGCCCAAACATTAGACTTCCACCTACCCACGTCTCCTCTTTCTTCTATCTTTTTCTCTCTCTCTCTCTCTCTGTTCTCACCTACGTCTCCTTCTCATTCCCTCTTTATCTCTCCCTCTCCTTCTCTCTTCTTCTTCTTCCCTACTCTCTCTCTTTGCTAGCTCCTAACACTGCTGCTCTTCAGTCTCAGCTCGCAAAGTAAGATTTCTGCCTCTTTTTGTCGTATTTATAACCTGAGGTTGGGTTTGATTGTTTATTTGGGTTTATCTGGGTTTATAACCTGCTTATCAAACAGCTTCTGCAATTGGGGTAAATGATTTCTTTCCCGAGGTTGGGTTTGATTGTTTATTGGGTTTGATTGTTTATTTGGGTTTATCTGGGTTTATATTCATTGTTTATTTGTGTTTGTCTGGGTTTATAACCTATTTATTAGGGTTTTCAGGCAATCAGTTTTTTGCATATTATTTGTGTTTATACATATGTGTCCATACACAGTAATTCTGTTATTTGGGTTTATAACCTGTTTATTTGGGTTTGTCAGCCAATCAGTTTTTTGCATATTATCGGTGTCTATAGATATGTGTCTATACACAGTAATTCTGCTAATTGTGTCTCTTTATCTAATTTCCTGGCTTGCTAATCAAACAGCCTCTGTGATTAGGGTAAATGATTGGCTTGCTAATCAAACAACTTCTGTGATTGGGGTAAATGATTTCTTTTGCTTCTGGGTAATCTTTTTTGCAGAAAAAAAACCCACATTGTTCTTCTTGCTCTGTTGGTTGTTTTGTTTCCAATTGTGCACT